TTTCCTATGCTGGGCATTCATGGCTTCCATCACATTCCCGAGCTCCTCTATTTTTTTTATCTGTATCTTTAATTCTAGTCACCATCTCTGTAGTTACCTAGGAAATTATTTCTGCTTTGATTTTTTTCTAGAGCCTTGTTCACCTTCTTTGTTACTTCTTCTGTTACTGCTTCAGAGAATCCAGGTGGGTGGCTTTCGGATTGTTCCACTTCATTGCCCCTGGAATTTGCCTTTGGTGAGCTGGAAGTTTGAGGGGGTTGCATCTTGTTTAAGTGTCTTCTTATTTTCTACTTTTTTAAGGCTGATTTCTGAGTTGATGCTTGTAAATTGTTTATGGCAAATAGCTTTATTAACGGTATTCAAAACCCTTAGGAAATGGCTACTTCTCAGAAGCATCTTCCAGGTGTAGCTGGATTTTTGGTTTTGAGTCTGTTGCAGGATCCTACCTCTTCAATTTATTGGGGATGAGAAGTTTCTGCCTACTTGGCCCAGCTGCCAGTTATTTGGCACTGGCCTATAGGTTGTTTTTTTTTAAGACCCTTAGGCTGTCTCAGTCTTGATATACCAGGAAGAACAACTGATTAGCACAATTATGTCACCTTGGCTAAAGTAGTACAATCAACAATACCAATAGCATTAAATACAGCCTAGCAAATGACAAACTGTAGCCCTTAATATGGCTTATTTTACCTTTAGGGGAGAAGATTTAAAATGGGTTGGGGGTAGAAAACAGAAATAGAAGAAGAGGAAGAGGTCAGATGCAAGGCTGGAGGACAGACTTTAGGAAACTGGTAAAGAAGACAGGTGAGAAAGAGAAAAGGAAAAAAAAGATTAAAAACCCAAAAATGTCCAATTCAAGGTGTGTCTCTGCTGTCACTGTTAGTCAGTGTGGGCAAACAAAGTCCAGAGCCAAATTGTCTCATCCCAGCAAGCTAGCTGCAGCTTCACGGTGGGGAAGTGGATAATCCCAGCCAGCCTGCCCCTTTAGTTCCTCTGAAGTTCAGGCCCGTATCTGGTATGAGGCTGGAACTGGATTCTTTCAACCTACAGTAGTCTGTGTGTCTCCTGCCAGCTTAAACTCTGCTCCCTGACCTCCTGTTGACTTGAACTTGGCACCTGCACCAAGGCACTGGAAGTCACTGGATGGAGTCTGCCCACAAATGTTCTGAGTTCCAAGCTCAGTTGGCCCCTCTCCAAGATGGCTACCAGCCGGTCACCCTGTCCTGGGTGAGGTCTAAATCCAGATATCTCACCAGCTGCTGCGGTCTGGTTTGTCCACTGCTCTGTTCCACTGGTGTGTTTCTCTGTGGAGGCCTCTGGAGTCATGGTGCATCTGCAATTTTGGCCTGCCATTCCCTCTCTGAGAGCCCGGGCTCTGGGAGAGATCGCTGCTTGGTACCTCCCTCATCTTCATTAAAGTCTCTCTCTTCACTCTCACTGTAAACTTCAATTCTTGCCTCAGCTCCTTCCTAGGTCCCAGGGACCCACTTCCCTCCTCCTTCTTCTCCGTGCGCTGCTATATTCCAGTGTAACCACACCAAATCTCAGAGAAGCTCTTCTCTGCCACTCAGCACTCTGCCATCTTCCCGGAAGTCCTCTTACAAATTTTTAATGCAGCTTTTTTTTTATTTGTTTTTGTTTTTTGCAGTACTAGGAATTGAACCCAGAACCTTTGCACTAAGCTACATCCCTAATCCTTTATTTTCATTTTATTGGGACAGGATCTCACTAAGTTGCCCAGTCTGGGCTTGAACTTACATCCTCCTGCCTCAGCCTCCCAGAGTGTTAGGATTATAGACATGTACCACCACACTCAGCTAGATTTTTATACAGTTTTTGAGATGCATATAAAGCTTCTACATTGAAATCATTTGATATATATGTATTTTCTTAAATATATCAGTATCTTTCGTCTTTTCCCCTGTAGTTTTTTGTCAGATACACTTATTTCATAGAATTTCCCACTTTCTGCATTTTTCTGGAGCCCTTTAGTGTTGTTTAATATTCTTTCCTGAGGGCCAGGGATTTACCTCAGTGGTTCTGCTGCCTGCCTCACAAGCAAGCGCAAGGACCTGAAATTGATCCCGGTACCAAAAATGTATATATATATATATATTCTTCCCTGAATTTCCTGTTAATTGTTAAGTAGCTTGAGGCTTGCTTGGATTTAGATTCTACTTTTTGATAAAAATACATCCTAGATAGTATCATGTATTTTCACATCAGAGGGCACACAATGTTTGGCTGGCTGTCCATCCGTTAACTCCTGATTAGCTTTTTACCTAATTGTTTTAGCACCATTGATGATCATTTCCTAAATCCATTAAGTTCATATACTGTAAAATTATTATATTCTATCATTCCTTCCATTATTATTGGAGAGAATTTTTTTTTTTTTTTTGGTGCTGGGGATCGAACTCAGGACCTTGCATTTTCGAGGCAGGCAGCGGAACCACTGAGCTAAATCCCTGACCCTGGATAGAATTTATTTTTAAAGAAAACCTTTTTCTCAGTAACTACTTGGTAAGCTAGTTTAGTTCAGAAGGGGAAAAAGGCAGGTCTTTTCCTTTTATTATTTTTAGAGTGAATTGCCTTTCTAGCATGCCCTTTAGATTGTTCTTCTCATCTACTGGGGATTGAATCCACAAGTGCTCTACCACTGAGCTATATCACCAGCCCCTTAAATGTTTCCTTTTTAGGTGTTGTAAACTTGCAGATTTTTAACATATTTGATGTGTTTCAGTCCTTGGCATGCTTACATTCAGTTGCCCAGGTCTTTTCTGGTGGGTTGCCCACTGTCTTTTTGACATGACCTCGGCAGTCTTGGACAACTTCCTTTGCCTTTTGGTATCACAAGATGTTTGAGGCCCATTTTGTATATTTTCTTCTGCTGAGCTAGAATCAGCTCTTCTTCCCAGGAGTTCTATTTTAGTGGCTATTTAGAGACTACAATTTTGGTGCTGAGGACAGTTAATGCTGCTGGATGGGTCACTGTTGCCAGGTCTTTTTAGTGAGGGTAACTAGAAAATGTGATTTTTTTTTTTTCCCCTACAGGAAAATGCAAAGGTAAGTATATTCAGGGCAAAATTAAGATAAAAATTTCTACTTTTTTAATTTTACATTTGCATCCATTTTTTTTCTTAAATTGAAAAATTTGGTACCTTGTGACTTAACCTTGTCACTTACTTGTTTATGCTGCCATTTACATAATACTTTCAAAGTAACAGTAATGATATTGCTACTAACAGTATGATTACCTGAAAACAGTTCAAGCTGTCTTTGCAGTCCCTTTTCGCCTTAAGCTGTAACCCATCAAGGGGTACACAGTCACATTCCTCTGTTTTCAAGTCAACTTGAAAGAGTTCTTTCTGTATAACCAAGCCACTGACTCTGTAGGTTTATTTGTTTTATCTTGCTTTTGATTTTCCAGGGTTTTAAATTTTTTATGTTACAAAACAGGGAACATTCAGAGAAGTCTACTTCATCACTGTTCCTTCCACTCTGTTTCCTTCTTCTGGTCGGGGGAAATTAGACCCAGGGCCCTGTGCTTGCTATACTCACCTTGTCACATTTTACTCTTTAGATAGTCATTTTTATAATTTTTGGTTTATTCCTCTAGTGTTAATGTTTCAAGATAAGGAAATCTTTTAATATGTTCACATTTCCCCTTTTGTTATAGAAAAACTGCCTTCTGTATATGCTGCTTCCTGTTTTGCTTTTTCCATTCAACAGAGTATCTTGGGGTTCATTTTACAGTGGAATACGAGATGATCCTTATTCCTTTTTGCAGCTGCACAGCACTCTTTTGTGTGGATAACCACACTTGATACAAATAGTCTCTTTTTTTTACTCTGCTCAGGATGCTATGACAAAATGCCATAGACTGGATAGCTTCAGCAACAGAAATTTATTCTCTCACAGTTGTGAAGGCAGAAAGTCAGAGATGGGTTGGGGGGGCAGTATGGTCAGGCTTTGGTGAGGACTCTTCCTGCTTGCTGTGTGTGTTCACAAGGCAGGGAGACTGGAGACAAGCTCTCAGATGTGTCTATTCTATAAGAGACTAATCCCATCATGAGGGTCCTGCCCTTCAACATATGAATTATGCGGGGACACAAAACATTTAGGCTGTAATATTCCTGCATTAGTCTTCTAGCTCTGCCATAAATTACCACAGAATGTGTGACAACAGAAATGTATTTTCTTGCAGTTCTAGAAGCTGGAAGTTTAAGATCAAAACATCACTAGTGCTGCATTCTAGTAAACCCTCTCCTGGTTTATAGATGCCCCTCTACTCTTTGTCCTCACATGGCCTTTCCTCTATGTAAGTAGAGGGGGAGCAGAAAGAGAGATTGTGCAAGCACCAAAGCAAGCAAGTGCAAGCTCTTCTCTGTTCCTCTCCCAGTCCTACCGAAGACCCCACATTTGTGACCCCACTGAGCCTTTATTACCTCCTTCTATGCCCTGTCTCCAGGTATAGTCATTGAAGGATTAGGATTTCACCATACAAATTTGGAATATGCCAGTGTCCTGGCACACAGAGAGACTGAGAGCTGGTAGAAATACACATTTCTTTAAAGTCACTGCTCAGACATGGCACGTGCGTGTCCGCTCTTGTGCCTTTGGTCAGAGCGAGTCAGATGGCCAGACTCGGCTCAGGGAGTAGGAAGGCTGTGTGTACTCTCCCAACGCAGCTACTGCTGGCCACATGGAGGAGGGCAGACATGGAGATGTAAAATCCTCTTGCCTAAATTTCTGTAGAAAAATGATGTGGTCCCTTTTTACATTGCAATCACTGAAGTTTTAATTTGCCTGGGTTTATATAAATGTTTAAACAGTGTGCATCTAGTATATGGTAAGCTCTTTGAGGGTAGGACCATGTTTTTGCTTACTGTTATGTCCCTACTGCCATCTACATTCTCTGACACATAACCAAAGAATCTATGAATAGTTTTGATTAAATAATGATAATTTTTCCCAATTTTTAAAAATATCATTCTTAGGTTTTCATGGCTTAATATATGATAATAAAACGGAATCTATGAAGACAATTAACCTCCTTCAGCGAATGAATATTTACCAAGAAGTTTTCCTCAGTATTTTATATAGAGCTCTACCCATACAGGTATGTCATGATCTGTCCCATTGAACTGGTACTGTCAGATGAAAGTCAAAAATCTCCATTTCAAACTGAAAATTTCACATAGTCTTCTGATCTTGAACTGCTTTGATAGAGAGCAGAAATACCCTAATTTTCTTTTTTCTTTTTTTTTTTTTTTTTGTGGTACCGGGGATCAAACTCGGGTCCTTGCACTTGTGCAGCAGGCGGCGAAACCACTGAGCTAAATCCCCGGCCCAGAAATACCCTAATTTTCTCCATTGTACTGACAACATTATTTCATTACTGTAAGATACTGCTTTTTATTTGTAAAAGTTGTAAGATTTTTATATATAAATGCTTCTTGTCATATCACAGTATTTGCAGTCTAGAAGCTGATAAGTATTTCATTTGTAAATATATAATGCTCATGATTTATCTTTGAGATTAAAATAATTATAAAATTAGCAAATCACAATGACCACTTCTTGTGTGATAAGGCAAATTGGACAAAGGTAGGTACAAGCTTATCTAAAGAATGAAGGCAGAACTCCCAGACCTTCCCTCCTTCCTTTCTTGCTTGTGAGAAGAAAGATTGCTAGCACACTTCTGGATGGGAAGAAGTGGTATGGTCTTACCGCTTCAACATGCTGCATTTCTACGGACATATTTTTTAAATGACGTAAGGAGAGTTAGGCCTTCTCTGACGAACATTTTTATTCTCCTTTACAGAAATATTTAGAACCAGTTTATTTTTATATTTATACCTTATTTGGGCTCCAAGCAGTCTATGTCACAGCTCTTTATATAACCAGCTGGCTCCTTAGTGGTACCTGGCTATCGGGACTGTTAGCAGCTTTCTGGTATGTCACAAATAGGTGAGTTGGAATCAGTATGTTTCTTTTCCTTTCCACAATGTAAGTAAAATAAAGTTATCTTATTTTCAGTTCAGAGACATTTCTTCTCCTGTTTGGTCAACAGCATTTTGTCTTTGGTTTAGCTAGTGTTTGACTAAATATTTCTTATTTAATAAGGTAGAGAGTCCTGCTTTCCAGCTGAGGAACAGAATATTGAGTTGCAGATCAAAAGAAACATCTAGTAGTAGTAATCCCAGTTCTCTTACATGTTTGCTGTATAATCAGTATTTTTCCAGTCACATTTCTCACCTCTTAAAGAGTTGTAATATCTTCACCATTGATCTTAATAGGTTTGAATACTGTTCTCCATTAGCAAAGCATAAAGCACTGTACAAATGCAAAGAAATTTCATATTATTTAATACCTATTAATTTATAAACATTAGAGCCTTATGAAATAGTTTTTTTGAATAGTATTTTAAGATATGCTATTTTGAAATAGTATTTTTTTTAAAATGTATTCAAGATATATTTAATTATTGCCTGACATACAGTGGCAACACCAATATTTAGTAGGGGTCCTAAAACTTAAACATGAATTCTCATACAGATTTTATTTTCTAATTCTAAACAAATTACTTTTTATTATGACCCTTTGTGGTAAGTACTTTACGAAGTGCTTTATAACAACTCTATAAGGTAGGCATGATTATTAGCCCCATTTTAGAGAAAAGGAAATTGAGGTTTAAAAGGTTATGTCATATGTACACGAACACACACATTTATTGAATGCCTGGTATGTTCAGGCACTGTTCTTGGTACTGAGTGTACAAAGATGAAAACTTACCTATACTTGTCCTCTGAGAGTTCAGATTTTGGAGAGGAAGAATTATTATTATTAAATTATCACCAGTGGCAAATTTAGGACTCAGCTATAAAACACTGAAGAACTACAGAGGAGAAGAATGCACAACATTGCCTATTGACATTTATGAAGTTAGAGAAAAAAGTAAGGAGCAGTTTGGCCTGATACCTTTATGGGTTTACCTGTCAAGCTAACATGGGATTGAACCCCAGTTCTACCACTAAGCTAAATAATATACCCATGGACTGATCCTTTAAATTGTCTCAATGCCAATCTTACGTTATGGGGATGATGATGATGATGATGGTTAATGATAAGGATGATTATTAAGAGCTAATGACTAGAATCTTAAGTATACTTGTATGTAATGTAATTATCTTTCACTTTAGAAAATCTTTGAGGCAGTTATTGTGAAAATGATCATTTTGGCCATTTGTGTTTTCTTTGTGCAGAATAGATACCACAAGAGTTGAATTTACCATCCCACTGAGGGAGAACTGGGCACTACCATTCTTTGCAATCCAGATAGCAGCAATTACATATTTCCTGAGACCAAACTTACAGTCTCTTTCTGAAGTAAGTTTCTATAAAACTTCATATAAATTCCTCAATTTCATATAAGAAGCTTTGAAAAATATGTTGTATGTAATATCCCAATCCACGTGAATAGTTCGTATTCCTTGACCAGGTTTTTAACTGGAGTTTTCTTTCTCTGAGGTTTTTCCTACTTTGCAAAGAAAATGTTTTCATTTTTTATGTTAAAAATGTACTCTACATAATCTACCCTTAAATAGTTGCAGCAAGCCCACACACAATTTCTGTGAAACTGTCAGAATTTTTAAGCCATTGCTCTTGAGATGTGATTTGGTGCATTATCGCCTCCATAATAGTGTGGAATACACATACCGTATGTGAATATTTATATGCAGAGTGTCACTTTAAGATATTTAAAGCTTAAATAACAAATGCAAGGGTTTTTGGAGCAACAGTTTATGGTTTTTCTATTTGGTTTATAGAGATATTGGCTGCTCTTGAGAAAACTTGTCTGCAAGATTTTTTATTACTAGAGACATGTAAATTATACAAAGGTTTTCTTTTTACAGAGGCTGACACTTCTTGCCATTTTCATATCAACTTTTCTCTTTAGTCTGACATGGCAATTTAATCAATTTATGATGCTGATGCAAGCTTTCGTGCTATTTATACTGGACTCCTTGGACATGCTGCCAGCTATGAAGGTAAGCTTTGCTTTTCTTTCTCATTGAGATTTGCATTGTTTAGTGTTTCATATCCTGGGATGAGATGAAAATATGCAAGTACTTAATGACAAAGCTGAAGCTCCTTTCTAGATCTAATGTAAACATGCCATGGTCAATTGAAGCTGAGGAATGTATTCAGCACCATTTAACAACCTTAGCTTTTATTCTGCTTACTTTATGTTAAAAAATGGATCTATTTGGGGCATAAATGCCTGAATCAATTGTCATTTATAGACATGACTTAAATTTTAAAATATAAGGTAGCTCTGTTAAAATTTCTTATTTTGGGGCCGGGGATTTAGCTCAGTGATGCCGTGGGTGCCTCACAAGTACAAGGCCCTGAGTTCAATTCTCTGTAGCAGGAAAAGAAAAAAATTCAAAATAAAATTTTTTATTTTGTATTGCCTTTTTTCCCAAAGAACTCAATGGGTATTAACAACTTTCCTGTAGTATTCTATAATAAATTTTCATAATAACATTTGACCAGTATGGGAGGAGAATCCATTGACTGGCCAGATGTCACATGTGAAATAAGGAAAGCCATGTCTGTCTCCCAACATGTGCTGCTGTCATTTAATTCCTTGGTGGTTTTGTTTTTCATATGCAGAAATGTTTTTATGTGTTTTATACATTTTTTAAAAATTGCTATAGCTAGTAACTTTAGTATTTCCAAGTAAAATAAAATAAAATATCTCTAAATCTAAGGCAGCAAAGCAGCCCCACATAGAAGAGTTCACTCAATTACTCCATATCAAAAGAAATAAATAATCTTTGGGAACTGACTGAGTCTAAATTAAGAAACTTTCAAGTCAACTAACAAGTAAATATTGTTGCTATAGTAGGATGGATGTCTCTGGGAATGCCAGCGTGCGTAAGCCATTGCCCCATCCACAGGGAGTACACCCTGTAGCTTGGAAAATAAAGCAGATACAACCTAGGGAAAGGATAGACGTCAATTGGTGGTAATAGTGAGTGTTAGAAGTTGAGGATAAGAAAAGTATTTGGTGGTCAGGAAAGGTTTCACACAAGTAAGAGGCTAGAGCTGAACCACAAATGAGGGGAGAATTTGGTTGGAGTGTGTGGGGCAGGAGAGGAAGGAAAGCAAGTGGGTAAGGCCAAGTTTATATATATTTGTATATTCTCTCTCCAAAAGTGGGGGGGGGGGCGGCAGTGGCTACTCACTGCAGGTAAATTATATAAGTTCCTATAATCTTTCTGTAGTTAGTTCCACAATAGGTATCAAAAGGCTGCAAATGTGTTTGTCCTCTAGAAATTTGTCCTAAGTAAATAACCATTCATATTTATTTTAATTGTATTGTAAATCCAAAGAAACTGAGACTGACTTAAGTCAGTAGCAGCAAGGGTTAGTGAAATGAATTAGTGTGTCTGGATAATGGAGTATTATACGGTCATTACCCCATAAAACATCATAGAGAAAGTGAGGAAATTTCATGGAAAAATAAACATTAAAATATTAACAGCCAGCTCCATGGTAGATGCTCTGTTGGGGATTTTTGTTATTGTTGTTGTTGTTCTTTAGATCTTCTTAATTTTTTCTGTAATGACTGTGTATGTCTTTTAAAATTAGGAAACAGAATATAAAGTACTGTTTGACCACACACACATAATTTTAAAATGATACAGCTAATTTATTTTATATTAAGTTCTAAACTTTGTACAACTTTTATACTTCTCTAACTAGTATCCTGAGGAAATGTATTCATTCATTCATTCAGTCCTCTCTAATATTTTTTGAGTGGCCCTATGCTAAGTGGCCATTCTTTTAGGAATTGGAGAAACATCAGTAAATGAAACTAGTCAAATATAATGATCTGAGTACTTTTTAAAGGGATATTCATAGTAACATGTTTTTGTGAACATTTAAATTTTTAAAAATTTATTACAGTAAAAGACACATTACCATTACTACCACTCAGAATACTCCCACTTGATCCAAACATAGTTATCCCATCATTCTTGCCACTTTCTGATGCAGTTCTAGAAGTCCTTTTTCATGAGTATAATATTAATTAATAACACACAGTAGAAACACCAGTGACTCAGTGGCAGAAAAGTTGCAGTATATGGTGAAATATTATATAGTCGTTTAAAATGTAAGTTTTCACAGACTAGTTATTGATTTAAGAAACTTCTATAATATGAAGCATATAAAATGCTGTATATTTAAACTATTATAGGCCTGCTATGAAATCAGTATTATTTCTGTAGATAATGATGTTGGGTTTTGATTCTTGAACTCTTCTTTATTGATTGCTGTTTTTTATTTTTCTGAATTTCATAAATCTCTTACAATAAGATACATTACCATATCTTTATAATTCTAAAAACTACCAGCATCCATTGCTCCAAGTTACCATTAATACTAAACAAAAGCACTGGGCCTTTCATACTTGATTGTAGGTTTGGTTTTTTTGGAGTTAAAAAAAACACCACCATGGGAGAAATCAGGTTGGCTGCTGAAGAAAAACTAGTATTTTTCATGTGCCAGAAGGAGTTTAGAATTGTCTAACTTGAGAGAAGAGGAAAACTGACCAAAAAATTTTCATCTTTATTCAAGCCTGCCTTTCTTCCCCTTGTAGGACATTTTTGTGTTCAAATTGGATGCATTTTGCTTTTATTGTCAACAGGGTTTTATTACACCAATAATGATCCTTACTGAGTGCTTATATGTATTGGGTTTGTTAATACATGTTTGCCGTACATAATGATTACACTCATTGTGGGGAACCGGTACATGTACATAACACATCTCAATTCTTTTGTTTATTTCGCCTTCCCTTCCATGCCACCTCCTCTTCTTTGCTAGCATCAGATTCATTTATTTCTAAATCTTTATAAAGTTAATTATCATACATACAGATTAACAGCCAGACTAACAGGCCAAAAAACATGTAAAACACATAAAACAGTTATACTAAATCAAGATACACTTTATATATATACATATATATATATATATATATATATATAGTTTCTCATATAAGAAAAGCCATGTGATCTTTTAAGCTTGTGTGTCTGATTTACTTCACACTTCACTTAACATTATGGTCTCAAAGTGCATCCATTTTCCTACAAATGACTCAAATTTATCTTTCTTTATGGCAGAATAGTACTCCATTGTGTATAAAGACCACATTGTCTTTATCCATTCATCTGTTGGTGGACGTATAGGCTGCTTCTAAGATTTAGTTATTATGAATTGTGCTGCTATAAGTATGGGTGTGCGTACATCACTGTGAGTACTAGCATTTTAACACACCTTCAGTCCCTTTATCAGACCCTAACCATTTCTGGCACATTAAGGTCACCAGAATCAGGACTACATTACAGGTGCTGTTGATTCCAGAGCTCAAGTTCTTGGCCACTGTACAGTGCCACCTGCTGTGAACCAAACAAGTAAGAGTAGAAAACCTTGCTGCAGGGGGAATTTTCAGTCTGTCCTGGAATTAGGGACACACAGAGACAGACAAAAAACAGTGTATGATACAGCCCTAAAGTGTATGGTCAAAAAAATTAGGAAATAATAGAATGTGATATTTATTGTTGGCTGCAGACAGTAAATGCAATGAGTAAGGTTAAGTTTCCTGTTTTCAACTGTGTTACTTAAAGCTGGGTGTGTTTTCTGCATTGCTTCACCCTCTAATCTTTGGCTGTTGCAGGCAACATGGCTTTATAGTATACAGATAACGGGCTTGCTCCTGGTCTGCATTCTTCAGTTTTTCAATTCCATGATTCTTGGATCATTGCTTATCAGCTTCAACCTTTCAGTATTAATTGCAAGAAAACTTCAGGTAGGACTGTGTGTGTGTGTGTGTGTGTGTGTGTGTGTGTGGTGTGTGTGTGTGTCTCTGTGTCGTGTTACTGGGGTTAAACCTAGGGCCTTTACACTAAGTTCCATCCCCGGTCCTTTTTCTTTTCTTTCTTTTTTTTTTGAGACAGGGCCTCTTGCTAAGTCACTCTGTTGCCTGAGCTGGGCTCAAACTTGCAATCCTCCTGCCTCTTTTCTTTCCTTAGTCAAAGTAGACATTTAAAAAAAATTGTGGTTCATTAGACCAGACTCTAATATAGTATCCAAAGGAAAATGTATGACCCAATTAAGTGGCATTATTTGCTTTTTTCTCGTTAAGTGCATGTTGTGTTTGTTTCCACCTTTCTGATGCCCTGTGCCATGCCTTCATTTTGGCAAGTATTGTTTACAAAACTGAAACTTTAGTTCAACTCAGAGATTAGCCAGAGATGTTTAGTTGAGTCTCATTGATTTAATGCTGAAATAAAAGAGAAAAGTTTATAAACTTTGTGTGATGTGAACTTAAGAGTGAGAAGAACCTAGGGGCCGGGGATTTAGCTCAGTGGTTCCACTGCCTGCCTCACAGGTGCAAGGTCCGGAGGTCGATCCCCAGTACCAAAAACAAAAAGAGTGAGGAGAACCTGCTTCTTGAACTCCATAGTAGTTCAAGGTGGTCGACTCCTTGTGGTTAATTTTAGCAATTCTGCTCTTTCTCTTGTCCTTCCACACCCTTTTGTTGCTTTTTAAATTAATTCTGTTTTGAGAATTTTAAGAATCTAAATAAGTACCTTTTAGGAATGAGATATTTTCTAAGGTATTATGAATCATGTTTGAAAGCATCAATCTGGGGCTCGGATATAGCTCAGTGGAAGAGCCCTGGCTTGGCATGCACAAGGCCCCAGGTTCCATCCCCAGCACCAGTACAAAAAAGAAAGAAAACATTGACGTGATCTTTTGGCTTTATTATATAATTAAATTTCTTTAACTTGCAAAAGATTTGAGAGTCACTTGTTTTTCTTTAGAATTATAACAAGTCCTGTTTCCTTTCTCATAAGCTATAAACATTTCTATACCAAAAAGCCATTTTGTCTTCACCTTTGGAAAGTGTAGATAATAAGTTTTCTTATTAGTCTTTTGAGTGAGAATCGCTGTGGGCAAACTGTAAGGAAGATTCTTTTAACAAGTTTTTAGTTTATTATTAAGAGCAGTAGTCCTTTTAACCTTAATTATAAATAAACATCACTCATACTTGAACTCTAGGTATTATTATATTTGACAATACTAGGATTACATGAAAACTATTATATGTCAAAGAGCACAATTTACTTTTTTATACTGATAGGCCTTTTATTTATTTGGGTTATGGCTATTTCTGTGCCATATGAATTAATGGATAAATGATGTGATGATTTATTCAGTCAGCATATCCCAAGTACTTCCCAAATGGCAGAGCCCAGTATTCTAGTTATGAAGATCTCAAAAAAAATAAGAAAGAAAAAGAATAAAGCACATTTATGTATCGTATGAAGCTCATCAGTAAGGAATTCATTTAGTAGTAGAAAATTAAAAATAGTAAGAGTGTAACTTCAAGAAGTATAGGTTATGTTTTCCACATATATTTTTCCTATATGTTTCATGAGCCAATGTTTGAAATCCTTAATTCTTAAGTGTTTAGGAAGTTATATAAAAATTTAAGAATTAAAACAACTCTTTTAATTTCTAGAAAAACCTGAAATCTGGAAACCTCCTTAACAGGATCAGGAAACTTTTGTTACATTTGTTTGTAGTTTTCTGTTTGACACTTTTTCTCAACAATATTATTAAGGTAAGTTAATAAATGACATTTAATGTATTTTTTTAAATGTACTGATGGAGACAATTTTAAAAATTTCTGTTTCAAGTAAGTAAATTCTTGCTTGACAAAGCATATCAGCACACTGAATGTTTTACTTTGAACAGGCCCAGTTTTAACTTTGTCCTGAGAACAGGATGGTTTTGTTGGGTTTAACTATTCATCTATATTTGTTCTTCTTTACCATGTTCTATCTTCAACTCGCGAAGTTAATAAACTTTTTTAACACTCAACTTTAAAAACATCAAATAAGTATTTCTTTAAACTTAGTTTTCTACACTATGGTTCTTACTAGGTTCAGTTAATAAACAAATTTCTCTTAGAAATTCTAATTTCTCTTGGAAAGATGAGCTCATTGTTGCTAGATGTTCCTTAACATTTAACTGACTCAAAATTAATCACCCTATAAAACAGAGTAACTCACTTATTATAGGCCTATACTTGTTATATGTCCAGGAGCTTTGCTGAGATTTCTTTTCAAAGTGCCCTAGAGAATGCTTAATTTTTACAGTATCTTTTCTAGCTTTCTTTTTAAGTGAAGACTTTATTTGAGGACCTTGGTGCTGCATTTCCTCTTACGCAACAACAAAGCTACAGTGATCTCATCAGATGATTTTGCCTCTCCTAGAATGCTGCTCTCAGCATAGAAGGCATCTGCAAAACAGTTCCTTCTCTTTCCTAAGAGTGACAGTTCTCTTGACTGTCAAAGGAAAAGGTTCTTCATTCAGCCAGCCACAAAAAATACCTCACTGCAGGTCCTTGTCACTACAGCCTTAAACTTACACAGTTCAGTGCAGTCAGCCCTCCATATCCATGAATTCCCATCTACAGGTTCCTTATTCCAGTATTCAACCAACCACAGATCAAAAATATTCTGGAAAAAATTGTGTCTGTACTGACTATGTACAGACTTGTTTTCTTGTCACTGTTCCCCAAGCAATGTGACTCTGCAGGTGGAAAGTTTTTTTGTTTTTTGGTACTGGGGATCGGACTCGGGTCCTTGCAGCAGACGGTGGAACCACTGAGCTAAATCCCCAGCCCCCAAGCAATGTAGCCTAATAACTCAGGTCCTTGCACTTGAGGGGCAGGCAGCGGAACCACTGAGCTAAATCCCTGGCCCAATACTATACAATTTTATGTAAAGGACTTGAGCAGCCTAGGATTTCTCTCTCTCTCTCTCTGTCTCTCTCTCTCTCTCTCTCTCTCTCTCTCTCATTTTAGACTTTCTGGAAGATTGGCTGAAAAGTATGCAGTTCACCCCTGGTCTCTTTAGGTGTTCAGTGGTCTGTTTTTAGGTTAAGTGCATACCTGAACCTCTGCTTTTTGACACCCCAAAGAGTAACATCTCTTGGTTTGCAGCCTGAAAGGAGAGGAATTAGAAAAAATAGTCAGTGAAACTCCTTGCTATTTTTATTGTATCCATGGGAAAATTTCTCATGAGTCCTATTTCTAGGGCTGTTAGGATCTCTTCTGAGCAACGAGTTAGTTTTAATCTTACAACCTGTAACATAAATGTTTCATCTTTCTCTTTCCATTTACTGCTGTAATGCATAAGACTAGATTTGTGGTTCATCTCTAATGAATATATTTTGTGTAGTAACCTCAATTCTGGCTTCATTTTTTTTACTGTCATTTTTCTTTTGATACTGCTTCTTCACCATTTATGTTATCTAGATTTTGTAAGTTACAAATTAAAACTAAAGTTACATGAATTAAAATTACAGTCGCTAATGATGAAAACTGCCATTTGTTCACCCTTGAGGGCTGCTGTTGTCTTGTAATGTCTTTGAGTGAATGAGTCTTATGTCAGCTGTATCTTCAGATCCAAATTCCTAAAGCCAAGTGGGCTGTGTCTCTATTTGAAGTTTCAGATCATCCTATTGTTTGTTGTTATTGTTGTTGTTGTTGTTGTTGTCAACGTCATCATTGTCATTGTGATGATGATGGTAGTGGTACTGGGCATTGAACCAGACCTTTGCACAGAGCTGCATCCTCAGCCCCTCCTCCCTTTTTTTGAGTCGGGGTCTTGCTAAGTCACTAAGTTGCTTAAGCAGGGTTCAAACATACAATCCTGCCTCAGCCTCACAGAGTCCTGGGATTACAGATGTATACCACAACACCCGACTCATACTGTTTGTTTTTTGATATAAAAATTCTAGTCACTGTGCCTTCTCCCTCTTCCTGAAACCAAAAACAGCCATCTTTTATCTATTTTCTGTGTTGAACGTATGCATCAGATGTTTGAATAAAGGATTATCCTTATGAAAGTGAGGTGTAAGGAGAGGAGGGAGTTTGAAAGTCTCTGCTTTAGCAGTTCTGGGAAATATTGTGAACATTTACTAATTTTATACACATACCTCCTATTAAATTGGACACTGGATATACATATTCATTGGGAAATTATCAGGAATCCATACCTAAGGCACTAATAACAATTTTTGTTTTTTCTCTCCCTGATAGAAAATTCTTAATCTGAAGTCAGATGAACACATATTTAACTTTCTAAAGGCAAAATTTGGATTTGGAGCAACAAGGTATGACTGAATTAAAATCTGCATTTGCTGTTATATACTAAAGCAACAAGGACTTTAAAGCTTAAATTACCATTATCCCCTCCATTATTAATTGCAGACTTATTTTAAGGAAAAATATAGTGTTGGTTCCTTGCCTTGTATTTAATTTAATACTTTGCTTTCCATTTGTTCCCCAGGGATTTCGATGCAAATCTGTATCTGTGTGAAGAAGCTTTTGGCCTCCTGCCTTTTAATACATTTGCAAGGCTTTCAGATACTCTGCTCTTTTATGCTTACATATTTGTTCTGTCCATCACAGTGATTGCAGCATTGGTTGTTGTATTTCATAATCTCAGGTATGGAGTGTTGCAGCATGTTTTTGTGTTGGGGGGGGGGTTGGTACAGCATGTTTAATGCTCTGCTTTCATGAAATTGTTCTGGGTGTTGTAGAAAAATTACTAAGTTGAAAATCAAAATATCACACTCAGAACAGAGTGGTGCTGTGCATCTTAAAGGGGAAACATACATAGGTTAGAAGTGAAGTCTACTCTCTGTAGTGAGATCCCACGGAGTGGTGGCCACAGTTCAAACTGCTCTGGGCTTAAGTCTCGTCTTGCACACTGGGAATGATATGATCTTTGAGCCAGTTATGTAACTTCTCAGTATTTCTGTTTCCTTACCTGTAGAATGAAAATATGATGAGTACTTTCTCTACATGGTTTTGTGAGGAATAAGTAAACTAAAACAACATAAAATACTTAAAAATAGCATCTCATTCCTAGAATATTCTGTAGGTGTTTACATTACCTAGTATATTATTATGGACTCATGGTTCTCTAGCTTGTCTCCATTATTAGTTTTTGACATCGTTCTACTTTTTTCTACCTTCGTTTTCCAGATAATTATTATATTTCTTGTGAAATATAAAGAGTTAATAATTATTCATTTGCGTTCTTGCATCTTGTTTCAGAGCTCATGAAGTTGGAATGGGTCATAATTATTAGTATCAACTAAAAATCTTAAGTAATCATTGCTAATTTTTTTAAAGCTTGCATACCTACCAGTCTGTTGAAGAAAACCAGGGAATGTAAAGGCTTTTGAAAAACCTGTAAAATATCTATTAAGCTTGTGGTGGGTTTTGCATTTGATATCCCTGTTAAATTGAAAGAAAATCAAGTATAAGAAATTAAAGCTACTGTCATTTGTGAAAACTTAAACTCCCAAGAAAGCGCTTTTGCTACATAGTGACCTGGCTAGTTAGCATGGTGGTGAACTGTGATTCACAGCCACGAGAGAGCTATTGTGAAAATGAGTCCAGATCAGTTGAGGTATTTTATGAGAATTAAGAATGAAGCCACATTGAACCATCAAAATACTTCATTAACTGTAAACTATTTTAGTATCTTTCAGAAGTGTTCTTTTTATGCCTATGCAAGATAAAATTTAGCTGTGTGAAAATTATCTACATGTACAATGTAATTACCTAGACAGTGTAATTTAAAATTATTCCAGACGCACCAAGTGTCAATGACCTCTAGACTGTACTCAAAGCAGGAAGTTCAGTTGGCCTGCAGTATCTTTGTGAAAATGTCAGCTGTGCTCAGTGTGGGTCTCTGAGCCGTCTCTGGAAGCTGATTTGGTGTATGATTAGAGATAAAGATTTTAGAGCATCCGCCAAGTGGGGAATTTAGATCTTTCTTAGAGAAAAAGCACTACATTAAAGTAATTAAAGGATGATAGTATCTTAATTCAAATTAACTTTCATGTTATTTGAAGGATGTCTGATTTAATACCAAGTATGTAAAGTATCTCTACCTTTTTAGTACTAGGAAGGTTGATACTGCAGTGGTAATTCTTAGTTTATGAACTTAATTTGTTCTAGATTTTGGGAAAGATGGCTGCAGTGGTGTTTGTCACCCAAAGCAGAATTTGCAAACAAAAACAAAATTTTACCAGATGCTTCTGTTTGTGAACCAAATTATTTGCAAACGAAAGCATTCGTGAACCAAGGTACCACTGTACTATGTTTAAACAACACATCTGTATTAGTGTGAAGGATACAACTGAAAGGGGTGCAGTGTTCTGTTTTAATTTTATTTATAAAATTTTTTATTTATAAAATTTTATTTATTTATTTTTTGTGGTACTGGGGATTGAACTCAAGACCTTGTGCTTGCGAGGCAGGTGCGGTGACATTGAGGTAAATCCCTGGCCCCAGTGTCCTTTTTTTAAAGGATTGGTAAGAGCCTGCCAGCTTGCCTGGGGTAGGAGAAAGACATTGTAAAATTCCCTTAGGTATTGAGGGAAGATAAGAGCAAATGTTTTTGCCATACGTAGTGGCACACACTTGTAATCACAGGATTCTAGGAGGCTAAGCCAGGAGGATCACAAGTTTGAGCCCACCCTGGGCAACTTAGTAACTAAACAAGACCCTATCTCAGAATTTAAAAAATTAAATTAAATTAAAAACTTGAGGTGTATCTTAATGGAAGACCCTGTATTTAACCCCAGTTTCAATGGAAAAAATACATTGTTCTTGTTTGAAAGAATCTCATGGTATCAATATAGAAGCCAATGTTTGTGTTCTGATATTTAACCTCTAAGTTAAAATTACTTCAATGGTGAAAGCTCCCTTAGAGTAAGATTTTAATAATCCTATGAATCTGTGATGGTGAAAAATGATTTCTTAGAAATAAAAGTCCTCCAGTTATATAGAGAAGCATCATACATACCCAGTTCTGTTGCATTTGTATAAAGGGTCAGTAGGGCCTTTATGAAAGTATTGTTTTTGTCTTAAACTTTTCTCCCTGACCACAAATTGTACAACATTGGAATTCACACATCAGTCTTAACCTCACTACAGTGGAGACAACAGACAATATGTACTTCCCAGTATGGTGGAATATAGAATAAATCATTTCCCCATGAAGTGTTCTTGCCCCCCCAATAATAATAATAAACTCTAATAAACCTCTAGATTTGATTACAAATTTACAAGAAACATGAGAATGGAGAAATAATATAAACATCACCATAAGGAGGCAATCAGCGAAATCCAGAAAGTGAAAAGAGTTATAGTACAAATAGTACATTTTCCTCACCAAATAAATAAATGGCTTTTAAGAGGGGGTGGGGGTAATTTTTATGCATCCAAAGATGTTTGAAAAGATGTATCCAAAAAATGCAATGTGCAAGCTTTAGATTCTACTTCAAAGAAACTGCCTGGAAAAAAAATACCAATTACTAGAAACAGGGAAAATAGAACACATACTGTTAGATGATGTTGAGGAATTGCTGTTAACTTTTTTTAGGTGTAATAATCTTAATGTAGCTATATTTGCTAGAAGTCGTATATTGGACATATATAATGAGGTCTTAGATTAAAATGTGTTCATTGTTTCATAAAGGAATTCCAAGTTTATTGATACATTTCTATTTTGGCTTATTAAAAACCTTTGCAAAATATTCATAAAACAAATAACTCATAAAACATCTTTAAAGATCTCAAGTTTCAATTATTTCAAAAGAAATTTTTTGCTGTTCTCTTTTAAATAATTGAATCATTTTAAATTTTTGCTAAGTTCACATCTGAGATTTTAGTTATTATAATTGTTTCTGCATTCATGTTGTGATGGTTTTAGCCTCAACCTCAGAATTGATCACTAATTCATTTCTTATTATTAATTTAATTATTATTAAATATTTTATTATTATTAAATATTATTTCTAAGGGAAATAATATTTAACTAAATACAAATTATTTATCCAGCTCTTTATATTTATTCAGTATATTTGCCCTTTATTCAGTGATTCTACAACTGAACAGTCCATGGGTAAAATGGGAAATTGCACAGTTGACCTGAAACCAGGAACTGCTTACAACTTAATGCACTCCATTCTGTTTGGATTCTTGGCACTGAGTACAATGAGGTACTTTTGTCTTCTCTGATTTATTTCTTTTTTGACCACTGGTTATTTGATATTTAGCAGTAAAATTTGGAGACTGACAATCATCTTCATTAATGCTTGTGATTCCCATAAAAATGTCCTTAAATATTGTCTCCCACTACAAATTATTATTCATAATCAGTTTTTTTCCCAATTACAACCATTCTTCTATATTTTACTTATGTGATAGTTCCCAAAAGGCAATAGAATTAATGACTAACCCTTTAGCAGATGATTTCCGAATAGTTCAAAGTAACATTTTACTGTCACACACTGTAAAGCTCTTTCCCAGCTGTTTCAGACTCAAAGCATGTACACAACTAGGAATTGCTGTCTTCCACCCCTTTCTGTCTTTGCAGAATGAAGTACCTCTGGATATCACACATGTGTGTGTTTGCATCATTTGGTCTGTGCAGTCGTGAAGTATGGGAGTTACTTCTAAAGTTGCTCCATCTTTATAACCCAAAGAGGGTCAGTGCTGTCCCTTTTTCCATTTAGTTGTTAATGGTTTTTAGTATTTCATTTATACCAGATCTCTTTTCTTCAGTAGTTACTCATGAATCAGATAAAATGGATTCTAAAATTGGAAACTAGAAATAGGTAATTGATAAACTAAGTTTTCATAAGGAATTAATTTTTTTAAATGTTACTGTTAATTTTAGTTTTGCTTTTTTTAAATTCATATTTTCCAAGGACTCTTAAGTTAGATATGTTCATTGTACAGAATTTAGAAATACAAAACACACACATACACATGTATAAAGCAGAATTAAAATTTACCAGTGATCCCTCTACCTCTCATTATAAATGTTACTACAGGGTATTCACCCAAGAATACTTATTAACAAATGCATAATAATATGCAATAGCCTACAAATACAATTCTGTATTCACTAGCTGGCAATACGATGGAAGCTAGAAATACCACATAAATGATTAGAACCCCAACATTGACTCGGTTGTTCTGCTATTGGAGAACGCATGCTCCATTGAATTATATTTTTGTTGTTTTTTATAAAATGCATATATTTATAAAGCAAAACGATAAGGCAAAAATGTTCAAAATACTTGTAATCTAAATAGTATCTTTCTTCTATAGATATGTGTAATGCGATATTCGGTACCAATATTAATACTGCTGTATCTGTGCTATAAGGTAAGTCTAATTTTCCTCGATTTTGTCATTAATCTGTTTAGCAGAATAGTTGCTTTGACTCAATGTATTTTGTGTGTTTTTTGGCAAATCAAGATGGGTTGGTGGAGTTTATAAATATCTCCTTAGCATTTTACTGCAGTTGGTATTGTTAGGAAAATGTTTCTCAAATAGTGTTTAACAAAAGCATGATAGCAAAAACCCACTGGCATTTATTCATTGTAATTAACTTTGTTACTATTCAGCAAATTCCAAAAATGTTTTCAGACCTATTTTTCGAGCAAATAAAGTAGAAAAATTATTTTCTCCTGTTACCTGATCTATATAGAGTAAGTTTAAAGATGTATCTCATTTTAATCTACGTATCGTATTAGGTGCTTTTCTTTATAAGAAAACTAAACATATCTAAATAAATACAGGTCTAAGATTATTAGAGTTTTTTTTAATCCTTTTTTCACTTTTAGTAGGAAGTAATGAAGTTTTTGATGTTCTTAGTTGACTGATTTCTGAAATTGACTATGCCTCAGTTCTGAGAATGCCGGAGATGGTGACCATTGATCAGGTTGACTACTTTTTGGTTCTTTTGTCACATCCTTGAGATTTACATGCCTTGCAGTATGACTTAGGCACCTGGCACAGATTCCTTTATCCAGTTGAATTCTTGCCTTCTCTTTAAAATCCTAATACATATTTACAAAGTTTAGGTGCTTTTTCAAATTTTTTTAAATACTTGAACAATGGATTTCAAAATCTGCTGGGCAGAGCCTCTCATTTGGGAGGGTGGTTGGAAATAGAGTTGAGGGCCTCATCTGGAGAGGACCTGCTATAACAGGCTCAGCTTGTGGTTTTAATGCTTCCATTTTCATGTAAACCAAAGATCTTAGGGCTTAAAAAGTTAATAATCACTATATTGCAAATATTTCAGAAAACTATATTCTATCTTGTTCCTAAGTACCAGAACCTCCTCAGTGCTAGAAAACACAGAAGTAGATTTCTGCCTTCTGGTGTCTGAGAATTTTGCTTTTATATAAATAAGTAAAACTTTAAAACATCTGGAAAGCAGTGGTTAAATATTAAACAGGATATGTTTAATGAAGAATAAGATAACTTTCCCATTATACATTGGTTTTGAGGCTAAAACCCCCTCCTAGAAAAGATGTAGCTTTGTCTCCCTACTAAAGATCTATGTAAACTATGATAGTCTTTCCCATCATTTGTATGTATGTAGGCTGAGTTGTTTTATGTCTCGGGAACTTATTGAAGTTTTATGGATTTTAAAAAAAAATTTTAAAAGCTATTTGAAGATGTAGGTCTCGTGTTCTTGATAAAATCGAGGAAGGATGTTATAGAGGAAATAAACCATGCTGTACAACCGTGGCTCTTAAAGCATAGTCCTCAGACAAGCAGCATCAGGCCCTTGGGGAAATACAGGCCTTGGGTCAAAGTTTAGCTGAGCCAGAACCTGGAATCACAGTCCAGAAGTTCTTGTTTTAGCCATGAGGCTGCTGCTGCTGTACTGTCAAGTTGAAGTTCCTACTGTAGTGTCATCGGGATTCCTAACAGTGCAGGTTTCATTTTCTGGCAGGATGACTCTTTCGTGGGGGCTGTTCTGTACTTTCCACCCGCTTGATGGCAGTAGAACCTCCAGTGTGACAGCCAATGAAGTCTCCAGAGGTTGTCAAACTTCCCCTGAAGTCAGGGTGGAGGTGGAGAAATCTCTCTTCCCCTCCCCTCGAGAGCCACTTTTGTAGAGGAACAAGTGAAAGCGAGAGTGCTGGGAAAGCCATCATTCCCAGGAAATCCTTGTAATTTTCCCTAAAGAGAGCTGGTGTCTTAAAGAATCCTCCAAGCCAGGCATGGCGGTGCACGCCTGTTTTCCCAGAATTGTGGGAGGCTGAGGAAGGAGGATTGCAAATTCAAGCCCAGTCTGGGCAACTTAGCCGCTTAGCAAGAGCCTATGTCAAAAATTAAAAAATTAAAATGAAGGGCTGAGGATACATACAAGTCAGTACACAGACCCTGTGATCAATCCCCAGTATGAGGGAGAGGGGGAGAATGGAGACTATTGTCTCGGTTGTTCTTGTCAGTTTGTACTGTATAAAATAATTTAGCTATTTCATCTTCTCAGATTTGTTGAATATCAAATCACAGAGATCCAGAATATAAAGATGTTTTATATATATTCAAAGTTACCCTGAAACTGAATCTATTTTTCCTGTATCCCAACTATTAGATTTTATATCTGTGATGTGAATTCATATATTTCAAAGCCTGATTTGAGTTTTACCTAGCAACTTTAATCAGGGTTTCAAAATTTTTTGATAATACCAAATTTTGCTTTCTCTGTCTTTAGGATTATCTTATTAAATGGAAAAGCCCATACTAGTCTCCACTTTGAAATCAAGCAAAATTGACTGTCATCTTGATTAACTTGAGTTGATCCAATCCCGTATAAATTATTGCTAATTATTTAAAACCAGCCTTTAGTTTGTTCAGCACTTTTATATTATTTAAGAAATTTTCCACAAGGCTCTTAGTAGATTTTAACATTCTTAGCATTAATAATAGCAACTTTAAAACTATATATAATGCCATTGGATTAACATATATATAATATTAAAAGAATTAGAACATCTCATTAAAATGTTTGTATTTTATTATCAAACTAATAGGGAAATGTTTAATTATAATATTACAAAGGAATCATTTAATCAGTAATTTTTACAACATCTCTTCTGAGAACTAGAACCCAAAGTGCTGGCTCCTGCTTGTCCATGCTGCACAGTTTTCCTGATTCCCTGTCCCAGGAGACAAGATGGGAATGAGCAATAAAAATGACCTGAGATGGAATGACAGGATAAGAAAGTGGTAGGGCTAAACATCCATAGACAAATCAGGTGTTTCTTTGATTCTTCTTCGTGGTTCTTAAAGACAATTATTACATTTTTGACATTAATGAAACATAGATACATTGTCGTGGGTCTTCAGTGCCAATATATTAAATGAATTCGGCAGTTAACCTTAGCATGTATATGGATGATCAAGTCTTCTTGGTCATCCATCATTTGATGAAACAAGATTAATTGATGAATTAAACAGACTGATGTTATATCGGATAAGTAGTAGACTCAGAGTGTCATTTTTGTATTTATACCTACATAACCTTCAATAACTCAGGTTGACCAAGAGGCACCAGAGGTAGATGTCTTAGATTTTCCTGGAGTGTCATACTTTCAAATATTCTCTCTCAATTGTACCAGTAATTCTATTAATATATATTAATATATTAATATTAATATTAACACCATGTGACCAGATTTCTAGTACCAAAAATACATTATTCAGTGAGAAGAGGCTGGTCATACAACCACATTCCAAGTCATAGTTCTGCCACTTGTAACCTGGTCAACTCAGGTCCTGCTTTGAGCCACAGTTTCCATATTTATAAAATAAAACTTCCATTGGTGATGCTTCCTACTGCATCATAGCATGTGAGTTGCTATAAGAACAAAATGAGGTTCTATATTTAATAAGAGTATTTTCTGTAGCTATAAAATGGTGCTATCTCCCACAGATGTAGTCTGCTTTTAAGGATAGATTGTATGGCATTAGTTAATTACACTTTTCCAATACACTGTGAGCATTCTCGTGGTTGGTATTCCTGTCTCATCAAAGTAATGTTTTACTAGTATTAGCACCACGTAGAATAGCGTTTTTATGCGAGTAAGATAAAAACACATTTTTAAAAGTTGACAACACCTCTGGTCCTAATTGGCTTCAGCTCAGGATAATCTGGGAGACTTTTCTTAGGCCTCAGCCCACATGTGCTAGAAGGGCCAGCAGCTGAGGGGAAGCAGTTCTGGATCCAGCTACCTCATCTGTTCAGCTCACAAGTGAGGCAGTTTACCTTTTTTCATGTAATCCTAGTGATAGGTGTCGGTATGGGGGTGGATTTTGGTTTTGTTTTGTTTTCAATTGCAGTTCTGGCCAGGAATGATGGATGAACTCTCCGAGTTGAGAGAATTCTATGACCCAGATACAGTGGAGCTGATGAACTGGATTAAGTAAGAGGAATTTTTTTTAACCTTTAAATTTTTAAGTGCCTTTTTAGAGTTATTGTACATCACATTAGTTTTGGGGTGGGGTGATTGTTTGGTGGTTGTGAATCTAATTGTGAAGAAACATTCATTTTCATTAATCTTTTCTTCTTTAAAATTCCATATTTGGAAATAACTTTCCACTCAGAATACCCTATCTCCAGGTGTATCCCTTAAAGAAAGGAAAATAACCATTTGGAGAGAAAAACAGGATCAGGAAATAAATTTCAAACACTGATAGAAATGGGAATGAAATTTTACTTAGCTGGGTTAACACAGTTTTCTCTTCTTTGCCAATTTTATCTTTATTATTTTCACTTTAATACCATTCAGATTTTCTGTCAATGCTAACACTTGAAAGTATTCCTTGTTAATTATTTTAAAATTACAGTGTAAACTATAGTTAATTAGAGTCATAATGGCTCGTTGCAGATTTCATTTTTACTAATCATTTTCCCTAGGCCTTGGCCAGGGAAAATTTAAAATATAAAAAGTGGAACTTTTCCTCTCTTGAACATGGAAATACTTTAGCATTATGTTGGTTTCTGTTTCTGCTGCACTTCGTTGCTCTGCCTCAGCCTTCAGCCTCAGAATGGAACTCGTGGCACTTCAAAGGTTTGCTCGTGAAACCTGACTGTCACTGACAGAAATAAACTTTTCTACCCAGAGCAGCATTCCCACACACTGTAATACTGTATTTCCCTATTTTATAACCAAAAAACAACTGTGTAATTACTCACACACAAATAGATGTTACAAATCTTGTGTGACATATTGTGAAAGCCTTGGCTGTATTGTCTCCACCGCTTAGAATTTTACTAGCCATATTGGCACTTGCTCATGACTAATGTTTACGAACCAGTACCATTTAGCACTGCTTGTGTATTAAGAGATGGTAAATGTTTGATAGCTTTGGTCTCTTGTGTGCAATGCATAGATTTTATAGAGATTTATGTCTAAAATATGTATGTGGCTTTGGTGCCAGTGTTGGACTGGGTTTGACTAGATGCAGTGAGTATAATTTTTCACATATTTCCAGTGCTGAGAGTGGTAAGCAGTGCTTTGTCTTTATTTATTTATTTAATTTTAAATCATGGTAGACAATTACAGAGTAAATAATTCGCTCAATATTTATTGTCTATAGGAAAGGAAGGCTATTCATATATAGGAAAGCTAATTACTTTTGCATTAACTGTAGTCAGCTGGGAATTTATGACACGTGCATCTGAAGGTGAGGTTGAAATTTTGTATTTTTAAGGTTATACTTTTGAAATTCATGCTATAGGAAGCATCCTAAGGATGGTGGACCTGCTGCATCAACCTGGGTTAGTGTTATAAATATCGCCACTTGCATTCCCTTATCTTTTAGGAATTAATTACAAATTATTTTAGCTGAGCCCCAGCTTGCCTTTGGCTATCTCAAAATGAATGTGCTTATTTGTAGTACCATTGTTTTCCTGCTTCTTCCTCCAAGAAAATTACTTAAAGAAACATTTCTCACTTGCTTGGAAAAACTGACTGAGAGATCACCCCCAGCGTAAAGAAGACAGTGTGTTAGCCTGTTGTTCCTTCCTGTTGAGGAAGCAGCTCTTGGGCCTGAGATTCTCCTTTTGCTGAAGGCTTCTCTCCCCGGCTAGTCCCCTTGTAAACACACTCTTTATGCTTGATTGGTTCGATTTTTAATTCTCAGCAACTGAAAAATTTATATTGTTCTAAAAAGTTGGCTCCATTGTGATCTAATCTTGCCTATTTTCCCCTAAAATTCTTTAAATTATCATTTTTGTAGAAATAGCTGCTAGGCATGTTTGTAAAATAAGCTTAAGTGATGATGAATATATGCCAAAATAGGGTTTATTTAGACACAAAATATGTTTGTTTAAATCAACATTCAAATCAGTGCTGGTCTGTAGGCTTTGATTCCAAACACAAGGGGATGTATTTAGTATTCTTTTATCCTTCCCTGATTTTTTTCTATCTTTGAAACATAAAATACAACCTTCAACTTTGACTTCACTGCTTTGATTAGTCGCACAGTGTCCGTGATGTTAGTAAGTTTGAGCTGCCCTAGAGAAAAGGCTGTGGCCTGAGGATCCTAGAGTGGATCTGAGAACAGCCCTTAGACTCCTGGACACTCAGCCCTGTCAGTGAGGAATGTCTCAGCTCAAGCCAGTTTGTCTGTTCTGTCCTGAAAGTGGCCACACTCAGATGTCTGCAGCCATGATGGTGTTACCAGGGCAGGGAATGGTCACTGTGACAGGATGGCTATCCTCAGGGACACCACAGCTAACCCTCCAGGTTGGCACAGGGTGTCTCCCTTGCGAAGTGTCCAGTAGCAGCCTACCTGTCATTCCCAGTGTCTGCTCAGTGTGAACCATACCCTCCTCACCGTTATGCTTCAAGGCCTTTGAGCTTCTATTTGAACTTGGACTTCTCAAGTATTTGCTTGGGGCTTCTCTGCTGTGAGGGTAAAGTGAAAGTTGCCATCACCTCAGCGAGAATTCTCTCTCTCTCTCTCTCTATCTCTCTATCTATCTCTCTCTCTCTATCTCTATCTCTATCTATCTCTCTCTCTCTCTCTCTCTCTCTCTCTCTCTCTCTATCTCTATCTCTATCTCTGTCTCTATCTCTATCTCTATCTCTGGCTGGGGATTAAACCCAGGGCCTTCATGCTGCAATACGTTCCCAGCCGTTTTTAAATTTTGAGGCTGAGGTTGGACTCAAACTTGTGATTCTTCTGCCTCTGTCACCTAGAGTTTGGGGATTACAGGTGTGCACCCCCATGCCCAACTTTTTCCTTTCTTCTTGAAGGGCCTTGTTATAGTCTTTTAGAAGTAAAGTGGTATCCTGAAGAGAAACTAAAGGTTATTACTTCGGGATAACATGAGACAGGCCATGCCAAAGGGCCTGGATTTCTGTGAAAACGTTGAAAGCTTTAAATTATAAATTTTTTTCACATCTGAAGTTGCACACTTGTTAACACAATTTGACAGATATTTGCTGAGCACCAGCTGTGAATATGAGTGTATAGGACACTGTGGTAAACATGTCAGTGTTGACTAGTAACCCATTAGAACTCCTTCTTCATTGGCATAAAGCACTGTTCTTTTCTCATGCATTCTTACTCTCTGCTCCATGTTACAATTTTCAGAGGCTCAACAGGTTTAATGGCAAGTGGTTTTAGAATCTTAATTTTTAGTCACAGAAAAATGTTGTTTTAGGCTTTCCTATCTTTAGTTCCCTTAAAGGTACAGAGATTTAAGTTTAAATATAAAACCAAGAATATTTAGGGATTAAACATCTCTTTTTTTACCAGGGACATTTTTGACATTTTAATTAAGGACATTTTAATCTGCAAGGACTTCCTGTTGAAGTCAGGCCCTGGATGTGGCAGCTCAGGCTACTGTTCCTACAGGCCCTGCCCTGCTCTCCTGCCTTCCTGCTCCCACCTACACCAGGTTCTGCCTGACTCCTTTCCAAGCAGATGTATATGCCCATGTTCACATTTGCCCTCCTTGGTGACACATCCTAGGTGAAAAGATTAAAAACCTGAATCTTTTTACCTCCTGTTATCTCTTTAAGTAAAAGCCAGGTGAGACTTTTACATACAGGCTTTCTGTGCGATTAGCAAGCCATTTACTGCAGCAGAGCTGAATGCCCCAGCAGTCTGGCTCATGCCTCATTTTTCTGTGTCCTTGAGCTGTTCTCTGTGTGTGTGTGTGTGTGTGTGTGTGTGTGTGTGTGTGTGTATCTCTGTCCCTCTCTCTGTGTGTGTGTGTGTGTGTCTCTGTGTCTCTGTGTCTCTCTCTCCTCTCTCTCTCTCTGTGTCTTGGTTCCTGAAATTTGTGTGATTAAAATACACAGATCTTTAGATCTGAATATTTTGAGGTATGGCATTTTAATTACTTGGCTTTGGGAGATTTTCACTAGAAATCATCACTTTCCAGTAATGAAGCCTGCATGTGCAGCATTTTCTCAGTGGGACTGAAAAAATGCTCCAAATTTCCTTTGCACTTAGAGTAGAATTGCTGTATATTCTAAAGATGATTTAGGCTAAGTTCAAACTTTAAATGCCTATAAACCTCTTTTATGTTTGATGAATCATTTTTGGTATATGCATAATTCTATAAATTTTTCAAGTGTAGATAAAGCAAATGTTCACACATTATATTATAATTCTCAAGTTTACCCATTAGTTCAACAGTAATTAACTTGTTGAAGCTTAGAATTTCAAAAATAAATGAGGTTATTTGTTCAAAATGCCATCAGGTCTTCCTGGAATGACATTTAAATTATATAATGTAAATCCATTTGACCTGTGAGTCCTTGTCATTATTTAATGACATTCCTTACAGAATAAATTGTTTGCAGGTTGGGCAGCCTGCTATGGAGTTGGTAGAGAGCTATAAAAACAAATTATCCTTTCATTTTATACATCATTTGTTCAAACATTTGTAAAAATTGCTGTTTTTGTATAATAGAGGAGTGTCGTTCAATAGTTAAAAGGACATTAGCTGTTTTAGATTCAGACCAGAGACTGCATCAGGCACAAGTATCTGTGAAGGAAAATTGCCCAGTATAAGATCTATCATTGTGCATATTTTAAGTTACAAAGAATCTCTTTTCCCTTTTCCTGCAAATTCTACCACAGAAAGTATATAATACAATGAATATAGGGTTTCTTTTTCCACTTTGCTTGTTGCTTTGACTTTTGTCATTGCCTTATCGGTAAAGTTAAATATTTAAAGTAGCAGTGAATTATCCCAGATTTACCATGGGCCCAGCATTTAAAACTAAGTCAACAAAATAAAGTTAGTGAACATCAACTCTACCAGCCTTGGAAGTCAGTAGTTTTCAAAGGAGAATTTTTTCTAATTCATTTTCTAGGCATTGGATTTCCTTATTTTACAACACTAAAATAAAACTAAGGGCTTAGTAAGAGTAGTTCAACAATCCAGAGACTTACACTAATAAACAGAGTGCATTTCTTTTAAACTTTTGGACTTTTTGGTAATAAGGCCAAACATTAAGACATGATACAATTTAATGAGCTATATTCCGTTTTTCTTCTCACTTCCTCTCAGCACCCATGTGACATGGCTTCCTCCTCCTCTGCTGATGTCCTGCTGCCTGGGGCTGCACGGAGGGCAGGGGCAGGTGCATTTAGAGCCTCCTGAGCAAGGAGAGCCTCATTTAGAGCCTGCATAGCTGAAGGCCTGCAGTAAGCATTAGAAAGTACACTATAGACTAATTTCTGGTTTATTTTCAATTATTTGCCTGTAATAAAGCTGAGCCTGGCTCTATTGACCAGTAAGCTTATCAAAAACAGGTTGTCCAAAAAAAATAGGTTGTCATACCGTGCTTACCAGCCCAACACATGGTAGGTCCTGGGTGATACATCTTGAATAAGTAAAGAATAACTTTATAACCCCCCACACAAGCAATCTAGGACTTTTTGACATTTAAACCTTTGTGAACTCCGTAATTCATCAGAGTATTACAATTAGAGTCCGAGAAGTAGGCTGAAACCCTGACCGTTAGCTGTGAATAGATAACAGGGTTCATCTTCTGTCTCTGCCATAATTATACAGTGCACACTGTGAACAGCTCTGTGCATCATCTTGGTGCCTGTTCCTGCTGTGTACTCAAAACGGGGATGCTAAGACAGGCCTGTGCTTTGAATAGATGTTGGAAGTTCAGCGGCTGGATCTGTCTTTTGTGTAAAAAGACAAGTTTGGCATCTTTAGTCAGTAAGACCGTGCCAACCAGGATCATTTCCATCTACCTCAGGCTCTGCCAGACATGGAAACCAGACTCCTTTCTTCCTACATTGGAAATCTGTCAGTTCAAAGACAGCTGCTTTTCGGCATTAATATGTGATGTTATTGTATGATTTATTGCAGTGTAATGGCTTATGCCATTTGAAAGTATACAGAAGGAAAGAAAATTGGCTTGGAAAAATGATGGCACTTTCATTAATTCATATTTATTCTCTTTAGCAATTATGGCAATATACTATAAATGACAGTAGCATTGTGTACATGGCCCAGAATAAGTATTTACTAAGTTTTAACTGAACCAGTGTACATGCATGACTGGCCCATTGGACGGCTTGTAACACTGGTTGTACAAGTGGTACAGTCATGCATGTGCCACTAGTAGTTCAAGCCACCCTGCACCAAGACATATGAATTATGACCCCATCGTGAACATATTCAACCCTTCTATTCCTCTGACCACATGAGACAAATGTCAGACATCCCCTATTGTGCCTGTAGGGTGACAGAGCAAGCATCTATCTGTTCTTGTGTTCCTGGGTCTGGTTGTCAGAATGAAAACAACTCATCAAGGGCAGCCAAGCTCACATAAAACTTCTTGGAATCCACATTCTAAACTCTGGCATGGGTGCGGAATAAGGCAGATTATGTGTTATTCCTTGTGTGCTCATTGTAATTCCATCCACTTTTTCCCCTCACTTAAGAAGGCTTATTGGAATGCAAGCGAATGAGTGTCATCGTTAGAAAATCTTGAATTTTTCAAAAGCAAATTATTTGTAAATGTCATCATTTGAATAGTAGGATGTCTTGCTCATAGACATCTGAAGGCCACTGTTGGACGGCATTCATGCTGCAGTCTTGGCATTAGGTTGAAATAAATAGCACATCCTAGTGGGATACATGAATATGACGAGGCTTCTCTTAGAAACCTCAGTATCAGAAAGCTTCATGCCCTGCTCTCCAGAAACATTATGAGCAGCCTGCTATAGCTTTTTCTGCAAAGGATGTAGAATTTTACTGATTTCAGATAGACTCCTCAAAACTGTCTCCATCCTTTTAGCCCAGTGCAGCAGTCACAGACTCCTCTTTCTTAACAAAGGAAGGATAAACATACCTTGCAATGCTCTTAATGGGCCTGTATGGGAAATTCTGTACTGGGGAGAATACTGTACCTAGAAGAGCTGTTGTTTTCTCCGTGGTAAAATAACCCCTCATCAGTTTGCACCTTCCAGGTTTCCAGAAAACAGAAGGAAATTAAATTAGCTACTAATACTCCTTTTTTGCCGTCGGGCACTGAGTTCTTTGACTCTTTCCTTGGTCCTTCATCATTGTTCTCAGACCCCCTGGGAGGCACAGAATCATAGACTATCCATAATCAGAAAGTGAGATGTGATTACTGTTGGGGTGCCCTGTGTTCCTAAAGCCGCAAATGCTTTTCCCCAATCAGGACCAAGGAGAAAGAATGTTCCCCTGCCAGAAATAGTGTCGATCCCCACATTGAGAATAAGATATTTACTATTTCAGAATCTTCTTCCCATTTTCTGTTTTTATTATGTGTTTTTCTTAATTTATAGTAATATCTTGGAATTGTTTTGCTTTACTTTAAACAAAGATCCTTGGAAATGATTTATAATCACCTGCACTTCCTGACTTTGTATTTTGTTACTTTTATCTAGCCAGCACTTTAGTGAAGTTCAGTACAAAAAACAGAAGCCATCTTTTGAGTTCTTTCTGTTAGAATCTTGCCTCTTTGGAACAATAGCAAGAGGAAATTGTGAATTTTAGCCTGGAAATTATAGACTCGAAAAGGAGTAGTGGTGCCAGGTGATGACTTCAAGAGCAGTGTGGGGACTCTGTCTCAAAAGGTTTGCCATCAGACAGAGCCTTACCCCAGGCCAGCTCCTGGTCTGGTCTAGTTTTGCTTTGCTCTTAATTCCTCTCTCTCTTAACACTTCTTAACATAGTTGGATAATTCTGAAGGCGTGATGTTGTCTTCTTGAATGTCTTTGAGGATATCTCAGCAGTAGGGTTGATTTGGACTCTTACAATCTTTTAGCTCTAACACCCCAAGAAAGGCAGTGTTTGCAGGAAGCATGCAGCTGCTGGCCGGAGTCAAGCTGTGCACGGGAAGGACCTTAACCAACCACCCACACTACGAAGACAACAGCCTGAGGGAGCGGACCAAAGCGGTGAGGCCCAGCTCTGCCTTTTCACGCTTCTTCTGGGCCAGCCAAGGGCTCAGCTTCTCTGCATGGAGAAAGATGGGCTTTGGGCTGCTGCCTCCAGTGCGCAGGGCAGGCACGAGGCACCAGGCTTGCATCTCCTCATCCTGACAGCAGCCTGCCCCGTTCGTTAAAGGCTGTTTGGGCAGCAACCTCCTCTCGGAGGAATAACAGAAAAAAACACCCAGGAGTGTACAGAAGACAGTATTTCAGACAAAGCCCTTAGAACTTTCGAATTGGAGAGGGAAAGAAAAGGAGTAGAAATGGTAACGTTTTTATAAATCATTTCATGGGCCATTTGTAATTGTGGGAGTTTTGTTGTTGCTGGGTTTGGAGGTTTTATATCTTTTGTTTTTGTGATACTGGGGATTCAACTCAGGGCCTTTACATTGAGCTACTTTTTTATTTTGAGACAGGATCTCGCTAAGTTGTCCAAGCTGGGCTTGAACTTGGAATCCTCCTGCCTCAGCCTCCCAAGGCGCTGAGATTACAGGCATGCACCACCACACCCAGCTGTTGTTACTGTTTTTTAAAATAGGTAATATAGTCACATAACTCAGAGGTCATAAACATATGAAAGGAAATGTAATGAAAAGTCTCTCTCATCCCTGTGTCCCAGCTAATAATTCTCCTCCCAGGACGTAGGCAGTGTTTCCAGTTTCTTTTTTTTTTTTTCCTTCATATGGTATTTTATGCCTATACAAACAAATATACACGCACACATATTCATACTCTTTTCTACCTTTTTTAAGACTAAAGAAGTAACAGTGTACCTTGCTTTTTTGATAATATATTTTGGAAATCATTCTCTTAGTATATTAATAGCTTCCTTGTTAATTTTAAAGCTATATATTATTTGTGGATGTAGCATATTTTATTTAACCATGTAGGCTGTCTCCATTTTTTGCAATCATACAATGCTCCAAATAATAACCCTAATATGCACCTGTATAGATGCAGTGGTATCTGTGTACATCAGATTCTCAGATCCGAAACACCTGAGACAAGGAGTGTGGCACTGTCCCATCACCCTCTGTGTGGGTGACAGCTCCTTGCCTTCCACTGACCAATGCAAGAGCACATCTGTTACCCATAGTCCTCACCAACAAGGATTCAATAGGGATTTTTACTGAGTGCCCTATTTTTTTTTTAATGGAAATAATCTCAACTTAAACTCCTGCTAACATGGGAGTTTGGCAGTTGACCCAAGTGTCCCAGACAGCTCCGGGTTCAATAGAAGGGTGGAAAGTTGGGGAGGAGGTGCTGGTTAGGCTGGGGAGCTGCAGAAAGCCATGCCTTTTTGTGCACCACACTCTCCAAGAGGGAACTAGTATTGCTCCTAAAACAGGCATCGTGAAGATCTTCATGCTGGTCTTTAGTTGTGACCTTCAAATTCAGGAAGGCCTTTGTCAGAGCCTTCTGCTTGACTGTTGGATGACCAGCCACACAGTGTTCACAGTAGAAGCAGCTCGCCTCATTCCCATTTCACCAGTGCATGTGAGCGTACTGAATCAGGCCCTCCCACTCAGTCCTAGAAGTTAGGACTCCATCCCTGGGAATGGGGGCCAGCACAGGAGACACTTCCTCTCTTAACAGTACCCCCCACCATACTCCACACAGCCTTTCCCAATTCCAAGTCCCAGAACACAGGACACTCAGACCAGGCACTCACATAGGGCACCTCTTGGGGACTGTGCAGGGGGCAGCACAGCTTCCTTGTGCTCTGGAAGGATGAGAGGTGACGAACACTAGGGTCTCCGGATAAAGTGATATGCAGTGTAACAGCCACAGGACAAGTGCTGCCCCAGGGACCCCCCCACAGCTGTGCCATTGTCAACAGCTGGGTCTCTTCCTTACCAGCACATGTACCCCAGGCTGTACCATCACCTGCACTGGATTATTCTTGTTTTGGATCCCCTTTGTTGTCTTACTCAGCTGTGTTATTTGCCTTGGTGAAGCATTCTTAGAGTTGACATCTACTGATGAATATATTCATAAGTCAAAAGAATACATTCCCAATCCAAGTGTATTTGATGTCTGAATCCAAATGCATTCAGCATGACTCACTCTCCCCCCCCTTCCTACAGCTAGATAATTAAAGTATTCTTTTGGAAATGTCCCCTGCATGCCTCTGGATAAAGATAAGTGATTACAGCAGTGGCCTCAATGGGGTGGGGGGTTTGGTCTCAGAGTCACCTCCATGGGAGGCTACAGCACATTCCTCGATTAACTCACAAGTGGTTGAGAGTTATTTTCCCTTATTCTATTCTTACTGCATTTTGAAGGTTTATCAGATATATGCAAAGAGATCCCCAGAGGAAGTGCATGCCCTCCTGAAGTCCTTCGGCACTGACTATGTGATCCTGGAAGACAGCATCTGCTACGAGCGCAGGCATCACCGGGGCTGCCGGCTGAGGGACCTGTTGGATGTTGCCAATGGACACGTGAGCATGTTGCCTTACACAGCAGGAAGCCCTTAGAGGGAGTGGGATTCCAATCAATTTGAATCTTGAAATCTTTACTGTGTGTGTGTGTGTATGTATACATGTATACTTCTTACACTATATATCATCTTTATATAGATATAAAAGGCTCAGGATTTTGGTACTGAGCTACATCTCCAGCCCTCTTTTGTCTTTTATTTTGAGACAGAGACTCACTAAATCACTAAACTTCCCAAGCTGGACTTGAATTTAGAATCCTCCTGCCTAAACCACCCAGAGACTGGGATTATAGGTGGGCAGCACCCTATTATAATGGTATCATAAATGAAGCCCTCTGTCCTTTCCATTCTGTAGAACCCCTGCCTTAACACTTTAGTGACTGCCACAGGGGCCAGGGTGAGGGGTTAGGGGACCTCCAGGTCCCCAGGTCTGTGTCACACAGCAAGTCTGTCTTTGGCTGGTTGCCATCATATGGCTTTGCATAAAATTTATTTTGGGGAGACTCTTGTTAAAAACAAAACTTTAACCTCTTAAAGTACTGCTCCCAAGCCTCCTGTTGGCTTGTCCATAGGCACCTGGCAGCAGGTCACTCCCTCTCCCAGGCTCAGGGTCTGCTCTTCTTGCTGTTTCTTCTCCCTCTGCCCTCTCAGGGTGTCCTGTGTCCCACATGCAGAGCCGCAGAGGTGGCCTTCTGTGGCTAAGCTTGCACTCCAGAGCTGAAAAACATGCTGTGTATCTTTCCTTTCTCCCTCCAAGGAAAACGTTTTTGAAGGTGTGCTGGGTCTCGAACAGGAATTTCCCCCTTTAGAAGTAGGGCTTATAGTGGGTATAAAAGCCGATGGTTGTATGTAAAGGGATGGGATAAAATGACAAACCTAGCCTAAACCTGAAAACAAATCAATGATTTGAGATTCAAACTTTTGCCTAAGAAAAATAATAGTAACTTTCTTGAATTCAGAGCCAGTAAAGACTGATGACGTGAATTTAAATTTTGCTTTGTGTATGACTTTTTCTCACTTGTGCATCTAATGAGTTGGAAAACTTCCGCTGGTCAGAATAGTTCTGTGTATTTCACTTGTGAGAGAGACAATATGTAGGACATTTCTAAGAACAAGGAGATCTAAGTTCTAGTTCTGACTTTGCCTTTAATGGTGACCATTGTGTGATACTCAACTCTCCTCAGCCTTGATCTGCACTTCTGAAGAGGAAGAAAGATGAACCAAGTGATATTTAGTACCCACTGACATTGAAATAATATTCAGTTTCACTAACATATTTTTAAGGAAACATAGTACTTGTGAGGTATGATAAAAAATATGGTGAATATTGGTTATTTTAAAAATTCATTATAGTAAAAGATACATTGCCATTAATCCTTCGCAAGATACTCCCCCTTGCTTCAAACACACTTATCCCATCATTCTTACCACTTTCTCAAGGAGTTCTGGAAGTCTTCTTTCATGAGTCTTTGGTTGCACTGTTGTGGCTGCCTCAATGTCTTAATCTACTCAAAATGGACAGTTTTTATGGTCAGTTGACTTTCATGCTCAGTTTCACTTTGGGGAAGGGCCAAAAGTCATATGGTACCAGATCTGGTAGATAAGGTGGATGAGGACACATCATAAAGTTTTTGTTTTTATTTTTTTGGTAAGGTTTTTATTTGACAGAAATTACCGTAATTGGTTGATTGCAAAAAAAACTAAAGTGAATGCTTAAATGAAAAAAGAAATTATTACAGTAAAAGATACATTACCATTAATCCCCTTCAAAAAACTCAAAATATTCTCCTTCTCTTCAAATACACTTTCATTCTTGGCAATGTGTCTTTTCCTGTATTTTTAAAAATTCAGCGTTCACTGTAGTTTTGTGTTCCCACTTCTGCTGTCTCTTGCAAGTATGTTTTATCCCCACATTGAAGGTGGGTTTATCTTGGGTTTAGATGATGGATGGCCCAGGAGAGAATGATCCTGACTTGAAGCCTGCAGACCACCCTCGCTTCTGTGAAGAGATCAAAAGAAACCTGCCTCCCTACATGGCACACTTTACCAGGGTGTTTCAAAACAAGACCTTTCACGTCTACAAGCTGTCCAGGAACAAGTAGTAGACATTCCTGCCCTTCTGTGTTTTGGACACAGTGAAACTGCATTGTCAGGGAAGTTGTTAGCTGATGATTCTGGGGTGAGTGGGTCTCTGGTACCCAAAAGCTGTGACGTGCAGACATCCTGCAGCTGTTTACACGAGTGGCACCATCTTCCACAAGCTGAAGTCTTTTTTGTCTTGTCTTTTATCTTTCATATGTTCTATTGTTCATTAGACTAAATGTTCACAACTTCCTAAGATTCACCTAGAATTTGGCTGTTGAGTCAAATCGTATGTGTTCCGGGATGACCCGGACATACCAAGCTGAGGAAGAGAGCCTGATCGGGATCAGAAATACTTTAGATTTTCAGTTAACTTACAAGGCAGCTCTGGTTAAGTGGAATAGAAAGGATGCATATTTAAATTATTTAATATTATTTCACTAGTGAAGACCAATTGGTGGCTTTTTAAAAAAGCTCTTTGTTGTCCTTTTTCATCTTACAATTTTATAATGTTTTCCAATTTTCCTGGTTTTAACATGAACAACAACAAAAAAATCATGTTAGGTCTTTGTATGTATCTTAAAAATCACGTTGCACTGTCTCATACATTATATATCCAGTAGACTGTGTGGTACATTGACAGTATTTTAATCTAGGCACAGAAAAAGTGTTACAAGTTCTGTATGGTTCAGTCCTCAAAAGTCTATGTAGCCAAGTAGAATTTGTTACTTTTTAGTCTTATTATTTTTTAAAAACCTACTGATATTCTTTAATCTCTCATGCAAGTAAAATAGTTTGCTTCATTTTTTACTCATTTCAATTTACTGGGTTTGCAAAATTTTGTAAACTTTTTGTGTTTTTAGCCTTTGTATTTTTTACAGCCTAGATCCTTGCAAAGTCTGAATATTTTTTAAACGTGTATCTTGACTAGTTCACTAATGCAGTATTTTTGGCAGACAGCATTTTCATACCAAGTTTGACTTTGGTCTCCAATCTTACACTGTGGGCCCTGGTAATGTTACTCTTTTCCTCACTGAGAGGTAACCAAGTGCCTCTAAGTCATGCTTATTTGTAACAACGAAGAAGATTATACATAACTGCTCAGAATTTTTGATAATTGCTTTTATAATTCATTTCTAATGATTAGGGACATGTAAAAGTTGCTGATAAAAGCATATTGTCCATTTAATTAAATCAAGCTGGCTAATGAAATTAACTTTCTCCCCTGTTCTTGCCAGTTGGAAATGATTTAAATGTTTCTCCTTGCAGTTGTATTGAAGTAAATTGCCATCACCATCAAGATGGATAACATCACATGTTCGAATGATTTTGTGTTCAGTTACTCCTTATTAAGCAGCATTCAAAACCATTTTTACACTGTCTTGTTGGACACAAGGATATTTGGCTTAAACCAAAACTTATTTAAATAAAAAATTGGCAGTAGCTGGGTTATTAAATTATGCAACTGAAACTCCTGAATTATATCTTTCCTGTATTCCTTAATAAGGTTGGAGACCACTGCAGTTTAGGATAATACAATAATAAAACATTTTAATCAGTACTGAAACTTTAATTAAGCCAGTAATGATGCATGCCTGTTGTAGCTGACAGCATGGGTCAGTACATCCTTCGGCGGTGCCTTACTCTAATTGAAACCAAGCACATGTAAGGTACAATATGTTGACACTATGTGATTTTGTTTTTTACAAACTCTGTTACTTTTCCAGCCCTATTTAAATTTACTTTAAATATCTCTCTGTGTATTCTAAGTATTTGGAGTCTCAGTATACAAGGAATAGGTACTTAAATTTGTATGCTCGTCATTGCCATATTAATGGCATACACTGAATTTTTTTCATAGTGACACTGTTGCCAAAACATTTAGTGTTCAGTCTTTAGTGAAAAATATAAAGTGCCAAAACAATATTGCAAGACAGAATCCATATGTACACTCTTTCCAAGACACTGTGACCATGCACAATAGAAGTTTTTATTTCCTGATGACCAAATTTCCCAACAAATCATGTTAGATATTTTTAGCTCTTGTCAGGCTTCTTGTTTATGACCTTCTTGTTGGAGCACACAGGAGGAAATGAAGAGCATCTGGTCTGGCTGTGGCTTCCAGCCTCTCTGCAAGCCAAAGCAAGAGCTCTGTGCCCTAAACTCCCCACCACACAAGGCTAGTGGGCTGTTTCATGTTTGGTAATAACCTCAAATTGTGTCCCTCTCTTTATGGATAAAAACACCATCTCATTTTGCTCCTGGGTGAGCAGTCAAAAGAACCTGTAAGTGCAGCAAAACCGCTTATAATTGGCTCCACTTGGGACTCCCCAGAGCACTTAAGTCCCTATCCCTCCAGTGGGCTCCCTGCCCAAGCCCCACACAGCAGGCAGAGGGCACAGCCAGGCGGCTGCTTGCACCCTCTCAGTGCTCTTGCTCCCTGATTCCACTGGCTACTGGTACCAGAGTTTCACTGCGAGTCCTTTTATTGTAAGTGCACACAGTCAACTGTGTATAAACCTAGGAAATGTAAGTATAAAAAGAAATATTTCTGCAAAAATTAAGCTGAATGTTTTGATAAGATTTGATAAATGCTGAATCGCTAATAAAAATTGCTTTTCAATTTATCACTGATGCCCGGGGATTTAGCTCAGTGGTTTCGCCGCCTGCTACACAAGCTCAAGGACCCGAGTTGGATCCCTGGTACCAAAAAAAAAAAGAATTTATCATTGATTAGGAAAATTTTAAAATATCAGGGAAAAGATAAAAAACAAAATTTATCTAGGTACTCATTCCATCTTTAAAATGCCTAAACCAATAGGAAGGTGTTAAAATGTACCCAGATCATGTTGTTAGTGTGATTTATGCAAGAAGTAGAACTGCAATCACTGGATTGTTATGCAAAGGAAAGTCCTTGGCTTCACATCAAAATATTAGAAAGTGGGCCAGGGATTTAGCTCAGTGGCACTGCACCTGCCTTGCTAGCACAAGGTCCTCAGCTCTATCCCCAGTAGTGGGGGGAACTCTTTTCTTGCCAGGGATGTGGCTGAGTGGTGCTGCGCCTGCCTGGCAAATGTAAGGTCCTGAGTTCCATCCCCACTACCGAAAAAAAAAAATAGAAAATGAAGCGTTAGGGGTGTAGCTCAGTGGTAGAGCACTTGCCTAATGTGTGCAAGGCAGGAAAAAAAATATACATATAGTATGCTTCCCTATTTTAACCTGCCTGCCGGGGATTTAGCTCAGTGGTTCCAGTGCCTGCCTCACAAGCGCAAGGTCCTGAGTTCGATCCCGGTACCAAAAAAAAAAAAAAAAAAACAACTTTGCCTATTTTAACCTACTTAATTAAATGACCGTCTACTGGTAATAATCACAATAAAAATTCTACCCAAGTTGAAAGATCCCCATCACATTTATTACAGGCTTTTACAGAATAACAATTCATTTCAGATGTATTAGTCAGGAGGTTAGTTAATAAGGAGTGATCTAGGCCATTTGCTATCTCTTAAAGATGATTTTCCTGACCTGTGTGAGATCAGTTCAGCTTAGTAAATTTGTGTGTGTGTGTGTGTGTGTTGGGTAGGTGCTGCTAGGGACAAGGACATGTATAGATATTTCATTTGGTCTGCATCTTTATTTCACAATTAACTGAAAATAAAAATAAAAATGTGTATACCGATTCCACATTTATTTTAACTTTGGCTCATCCTTGACCAAAATTTACCTGAAGTAACACAGAAATATTTAATTATAAAAATTTAATTCAGACCTTGGCATTAATAGGAAGATATTAAAAGTTTCCTCAGATCATGTATTTTGGTTAACGTGCCCCCAGATATTTTATACATGACAACCTTTTAGCCTAGGAGAGAGTGTTTGTTCTTGGAAAAAAAGCTTTTAAGATGAGAGTGTGGCTCACTTTCTTGTGGTAGTTGAGGTTCTGTTTTTAAACTCCTAAAATCACAAAGAGCTTTTATAATTTGTTGTATGGAATTGTATGGAGATTATATACTAAATAAAGCTCTTTTAGATTACACAAAATGAGTGTCTTTCATTTCTTTGAAGGTCAAAAACCAAGGAACCTACTTTCCTGGGAAGGAGGGGTTGAGGCAGGGTCTCACTGTGTAGTAGGATCTGGCCTTAAACTCACTATGTAGCCCAGGCCAGCCTTGAACTCACAGTGATCCTTCTGCCTCAGCCTCCTGAATTCTGAGATTATAGGTAGGTGCCACCACACCTGGCAGGAACCTGCTTGTTGAAACACATTAAATATTTGCAAAATAGAGTAAATCACTAAAGATGGGTGTGGTGAGGTTGCAAAATAGAGTAAATCAATAAAGATGAGTGTGGTGAGGTTGTCATTGTATTTATAATGTTGAAGGAGTTCATTTCATGTGAATTTCTGTTTGATAACTACTGATTGATTTTATTTGAATCTAAAGTTAGTGTTAGATTTCTGAAAAGAAGGTTGTTGTCAGTAGAATTTATCCTCAAAGATGTAAGTCCTATATGTTTGGCCTTAACAGTTTGATGTCATTAATATCATTCTTAGCAATTCAGGAAGATGATAGTAGTTCACATTTTGGTAAGAGTGTATAGATAACAAAGGTGCTTGATGTTCAAAATAGAAGTTGAAATTTCAAGCAGAAATGACCAGAAAGATAAATAGAAAAAACTGGTAGTGGGGTCTCAAATATCTGTATGAATGAATGGGTTCTAACACAGGAAGAATCATAAATAATGCAGTTAGGTGCAACTGTGATTGGACTGAACATGTAATGGTCTGGCCTGAAACACCCACTTGGTGGACAAAAGGCTTTTTCTCTGCCCCTCTCTTCAGAAAAGGTATCTGAAACTCATCTCATGAACTTTTCAGTTATTTTAATATTTAGAAGTTTGTTTTATAGGATTGTTTTCAAAATGCAGATAATATAACTAACAGTGTAATGTGAAATCAATTTAGTGAATTGCAGCCAACATTTAAAAGAAAGGCAGGAAAGTAAGATGAGTCCACATGGTAAATGTGTTGTTCAGGGTAATATTTGTTTCAGTTGTGCATATAGGTATTAGTGTACCAGGAACAATACAGAATGTATTTCTTACTGTGAATTAGAGCCAGAGTTAGGAAACCTTGCCTTACAGCACGTGGGGCTTCCAGAAGGATGGCAGTCTGAAGTTGACTCTGTCCTTGTCCAGACTTAACACTCATAGAACTACCTACACCTTGATGATATTAAGGATCTGTATTTTTTTTTTACAGGTATGATATGTACATTTTTTGTTTGGTTTTTGGTTTTTTGCAACAATGTATCACTATGTAGTTCATGTTGGAACTTGAACTCACTATGTAGCCCAGGCTGGCCTGGAACTCACAGCAATCCTTCTGCCTCAGCTTCCAAGTACTGGGATTATAGGCATGTGCCACCATGCCCAGCACATTTTAAGTTCTTTTAAACTATATACTGAAATATTTATAAGAAAATTACATATCCAGGATTTGCATCAAAATAATTCTGGGGGCATCTAGATGAAATAAGATTAGCCATGAGTAAAAAAAGTAGTTTAAACTACTTTGAACTTTTTCAAAAAGAGAGAAACTAGAGCCAACTAAATAAACCAGGAAACTAAGACTTCAAAGATAAAAAAATCTGAAATCAATTAGAAACTGTAGAAAGGGTAAATAAATCAAAACTTCAGTCCTTTTTAAAAGACAAATGAAATAGTTATCTGGTAAATCTAACAAAAAAAATAGCAAAAATATTAGGAATATGAAAAAGGACACAATCCCAGAATCAGGAATGAAAAAAATCACATGAGAATAATGTATGCAATCCTGTGAAAAAATATAACACCTTTAAAAAAAATTTTCCAGACAAAATAGAAATTGCCAGATGACCCTCAAAGAAGCTAAAAATGAATAGATAAAACGTATAGAATACCTGGCTAAGGATTCAGAGGTCACAAAGGACATCTGGACAAGAAGAGTACAGCAGAAGTATTTCTGAAGAAGACCTGGTCACAGGATGTAGGTCAGTAGGAGAGTTCATAGCAAGCATGGGGAAGCCCTAACTTTAACTTTGATCTCCAGCAACACAGGAAGAGAGAGAGGGAGTCCAAGTTTAACCTTTCTCAACCACTGAGTAATAGGGAAAGCATTCAAGTTTGTTTCAGGAAGCTAGTCCAGTTTTAACACAACTCAGCTCAATAATGTAGCATAACATTATCATAAGCTTTGTAGCTTCCAACAACGCACCCTTGAGATTGCGGTTTCCTCGGTCAGAAGTCTGAACACAGGGCAACTGATCGTCTTCTAGGTCTCAGGAAGCTGAAGTCAAGAGTCTCTAGTCCCCACCTGCTCAGTGTGGGATACAGGCCCGAGAAAAAGATACACTAAGAGACAGAACTAAGAGAGAAAGCAGGGTGCCAGTACAACCAATGCCAGTGTAACCGACAAAGTCCCAGACCACTGACTTTTATTAGCAGTCAGTTGGGTTAAAGGTGAAGCGTAATTTCTATGGAAATTAATGTAAACAAGGCTCAGAAAAGATAAGACAAAGCATTCTTAAATTAGGAACAATAGACAAAATATATATGATTATAATTAGAACATTGTCCATCTAGTCAGAAGGTTTTAGTTGTGGGAACAGAATTTGGGTGCAAGTTGTTCTGACCTCAGCATGTAGGCTTCGGCCAGACTCACTTCTCAAAACAGGCCAATTGTGGGGTTAACTCTTCACAGCCTGCCTTGGGCATAATCAATACTACCAGTCCTCTGCAGTCAAGATGTCAGCTGGGGCTACTTTCTCATCTGGAGATTAGGAACCTCTTTCAAGCTCACACAAGTTGGTGGTAGGATTCAGTTACTTATTCTTGTAACATGGAGGCCACTGTCCCCTAGAGGCCACCTCTCTCCAGAGGCAGAAGCTGTGCCTCTTCACAGCCGAGAAGAAGCAGCTCCAGGAAAAGCGCAATTTCCTCTGCTAAGGGCATTTACCTGAGTAAGTCAGATCTACCCCATATAATCAAAATCAATTGGTCTGGGACCCTGAATTGTACCTGTAAAATCCTTTCACCTTGGCTATGTAGCATAACCTAACATCCATCATGTTCAGAAGCCCCACCCACACTCAAGAGAAGGGCATGTTCATGGGGGCCGTTTTAGGGGATTAGAATTCTTCCTGCCAGATAGTTTAAAAGTATTTGGCAGCAACTAACAGGATTATAAAGTGTCAGAGAAGGAAAGCTCACAAGGTGAGTCCCAGTTTCACCCTTGCTTTCTCCCTTAGAGTCTTTTCAAAGTGTGACACAGGAAAATGGAAGCCAAGCAAAATATGGGAGCCTTACTAGAAGAAACAGCTTGGAGTGCCGAAGCAGCTAGGGTTTGGTTGTGGGTGGAGGGACATGGCACTAGAAAAGGGGGCATTACAACAAAGAAAACCTGAGAATTTCCCATTGGACCCATGGCCCTCACCTACACAGGCATGGCTTAGCAGAGAACATCTGACAAGTGGCAAAAGGCTAAACAGATCAAAGGTTACCAGTGCCAAGGAGACATTGAGACTAGGGCCCAGCCAAGACTAAGAGACCTCAAGAATCTCCCAGCCATCCAGTTGATAGTCTGGAAAAGCTATAACTCATTGTGAGATTAGAGACAATTACATTTCCAGCCAAAAACAAAAATAAATCTGCTTTGGTGCTAGTTTTCCATCACTGTGGCAAAATACCTGAGATAATCAACATATGAGGAAAGAGCTTTTTTGGCTTATGGTTTCAGAGGTTTTGGTCCATGACCACATATCCCTGCTGATTTGGGTCATGGTGGCCCAGAACATCATGGCAGGAGCATGTAGCAGAGGATGCCTGTTCACCTCATGGTGATCAAGAAACAAAGAGAAAGGGGGAAAAGTCCAGGGTTCCAGTATCCCCTGGAAGGACACAACTCTGCTGACTTAAGGACCTCCTGCTAGGCCCCACCTCTTACAGTTCCTGTCACCTCCCAATAGGACCACGGGCTGGAAAACAAGTCTTTACCACATGGGCCTTTGGGAAGTAGTTAAGATCCAAACTAGCAACCCTGAAGGATGATAGATTTATCCATGGCCTCAAATTATCTCGAATGTTTTTATATATATTCTGTAGCACTCAATCAAAAATAGGAATAATTTTTTAAAATATTGAACCAGTGGAAATAGAAATGAAACCATAAGCAAATAGAAGATATTGGAGGCTTAAAGCAGATTTTCATATACAGTAGCTATGTCTACTATATTCAAGAAAGTAAATGATGATGGAGAGTTTAGGTAAAGAACTGAAAAACAATAGGAACAAAATGGAAATAATAGAACTAAAAAGTACAATGAGTATTATTGTATTCCTTTAACTCAGTGTTGAGTTAAAAAGCAAATTAGACATAGCTGAAGAGAAAATCAATAGACTGAACAATAGTTTAAGAGAAACTATCCAGACTAAAAGACGAAAAACAAAAGGAAGACCATGAAACATCTTCCAGAACATTCTGTTTTATCCTGTAAGTGTCACTGAAGTTCCACAAGGAAAGAAAAGGATGGACCTATAGGACTTTGGGCAAGGAACTTGTCTTAGTCCATGTTGTGCTACTATAACAACACCCAAGACTAGGTAATTTCTCATGACCACAAATTGTATTTCTTCTTAGATCTGGAGGCTGGAACATCAGGATCAAGTTGTCAGCATCTGGGGAGGTCCTCTTACTGCATCATAAAATATTGCAGAAGGGCTCATGTGGGCCAAGGACAAAGAGAGGGCACAGGAAGAAGAAATGAGACTGAACTTGCCCTTCTATAAGAAACCTTTTCCCATGACAGTGCTGCAAAGCCATTTGTGAGGGCAGAGCCTTCATGGGCTAATCAGCTCTTGCAGTCCCCACCTCCTGGCACTAGCATGGTGGATGTTAAGTTTCCAACACATGCTTTTGAGGGAACAGACTTGAACCATAGTACTACTTATATTCTTAGCTTCTGTGTCTTCTTTGGTAATTGGGTATGTAATAATCTCCCTATAGG